TGAGGGGAACAGAGGGTCCCATCTGCCGACCCAACCCCATGGCACGGGAGGTCTGTAACCTGCCTGAGGCTCAGATTCAGGATGTCACAGAGAGGATCCTGGCCTTTATTCGACCCTCGGACCAGTACCCCATGGTCCTAATCCAAGTGGGAACAAATGACGTGGCCAGGGGCAACCCAGACCATATCATGAAAGACTACGAGGCCTTGGGGGCCAAGCTCACAGACAAAGGGGCACAGGTGGTATTCTCCTCTATTCTCCCAGTAAGTAGACGCAGCCGGCGTCACGAAGTCCTCATCAATGAAGTCAACTGGAAGCTTCAGAGTTGCTGCCACCAAGTAGGCCTTGGGTTCCTGGACAACGACCTGCATTTTCACGCAGGGGGCATGCTCGGTTGGGATGGGCTTCACCTCTCCCCTAAAGGCAAGTGTGTCTTCTCTTCCAGGTTGGCTGATCTCGTATGGCGTGCTTTAAACTAGCTTCGCTGGAGGATGGGGCCACAGGAGGACATGAGGACACCTCCCAGCCAAGACAGGGGATGAGCATAAGAGGTACCCAGGTAAGGGACAAGGGTCCAGACAGTCCTAAGAATCTGGGGGAAGGGAAAGGCATGCACCGATAGGAAGCCTTAAGCGCCTTTATACTAATGCTCAAAGTATGGGGAATAAACAGGAGGAGCTCGCCCTCCGGATAGCTAGTACAAACCCAGACACAGTAGGGTTCACTGAAACCTGGTGGGACGCAACCCATGATTGGGCAGTAAACATTAGGGGTTACAGACTATACAGGTGGGACAGAATGGGGAAGAAAGGTGGGGGAGTGGCACTCTACGTCAAAGAGCAGTACATGTCCTCAACTAACAGGATGGGGTCAGAGGAGGGGCAGGCTGAAGTGCTCTGGGTCAGAATACAAGGGGGTCGCGGAGAAAGGGACTTAACGGTGGGTGTCTACTACAGATCACCTAACCGGGGGAAGAGCTGGACCAGGAATTCTCGGGTCAGCTTGTGGAGGCAGTTAAGTCAAGGGATGTGGTCATCATGGGTGATCTAAACTACACAGACATTTGCTGAGAGGAACAGTCAGCCAGGTCTGACTGCTCACATAGGTTCCTTGCTGGGATACAAGACCTCCACCTAACCCAGGCGGTGCACAGTCTCACCAAGGGGAACGCCTTGCTGGACCTAGTCCTGGCCACAGGCGATGATCTGGTAAGGGGACTCCAGGTCCTTGACCACCTGGGCGATAGCAATCATCGCCTACTGGAATTCCCCATCCAATGTAGGGTGTCAAGGGTCTGCAGCAAGGCAGTAGCCCTTGACTTCAGGAGGGCCAACTTCAACAAGTTGAGGAGATTGGTAGGAGAGGCACTGCAGTTCCAAAGAGTAGGGGAACTAGGTGTCCAAGACAAGTGGGTGGTTCCTTAAGGAGACAATCCTCCGAGCCCAAGGGGTGACAGTCCCAACGCGAGTCAAAGGGAGCAAGAGTGCTCAAAACCCCCTTGGCTCACCAAAGGCATTCAGAAACATCTGAAAGCAAAAAAGGAGGCGTACATCCAGTGGAAGTGGGGGCTATCACCAAAGAGGAGTATACCTCCATTGCAAGAGTATGTAGGGAGGCTGTTAGGAAGGCTAAGGCGGAGACGGAACTAGGGTTAGCAACAAGGATCACGGACAACAAAAAATCCTTTTTTAAATACATAGGGAGCAAAAAGAAGGCCCAGGCAACATGGGGCCCCTGCAGGATACACTTGGCAATCTGGTGGTTGCACCAGATGAAAAAATAGACCTTTTTAACAAATTATTTGCCTCCATTTTTCTGAGTAGGGACCAAGACTTCATCCTGTATCCCGGTGGGGGGGGACTCAGGAGCGACTCCGCCAGGCCTAGGGTCAGGGAGGACCGAGTTAGGGAACTTCTGGAGGGGCTGGATGTGTTCAAATCAGCAGGTCCAGATGCTCTCCACCCCAGGGTGCCGAGGGAATTGGCAGGGGGCATCGCGGGACCCCTGGCACAGCTTTACAAGCACTTGTGGTGCTCTGGCCAGGTGCCAGAAGACTAGAAGAAAGACAGTGTGGACCCCATTTTCAAAAAAGGGAAGAGGGAAAACCCAGGCAACTACAGGGATCTGCGCAGATCATCAAGTCCGACCCCCTGCCATGGGCAGGAAAGAATGCTGGGGTCAAACGACCCTGGCTAGGTGATCGTCTAGCCTCCTTTTGAAGACCCCCAGGGTAGGAGCTAGCACCACTTTTCTTGGAAGTTGGTGCCAGATCCTAGCCACCCTGAATGTGAAGTAGTGCTTCCTGATGTCTATCCTGAATCTACTCAGTCAACTTATGGCCGTTATTCCTTATTACTCCCAGTAGTGCTCGGGGGGAACAGGGACTCTCCCATTGCCTGCTGGTCCCCCTTGGCCAGTTTACAGATGGCTACCAGATCCCCTCTCAGCCCTCTCTTGTGGAGGCTGAACAGGTTCAGGTCCCATAGCCTCCCCTCGTAGGGCCTGCCTTGCTGCCCCCTGATCATGCAAGTGGCCCTTCTCTGGACCTTCTCGATGCTGGCCACATCTCTCCTGAAGTGCGGCACCCAGAACTGGATGCAGTACTCCAACTGCGGCCTGACCAGTGTCGCATAGAGGGGGAGGATCACCTCCTTGGACCTGCTCGTGATGCATCTGTGGATGCATGACAAGGTACAGTTGGCCTTGCTGACCAATTTTTAAAAATAAAATAATACTGAAATAAATGCCAGGTAAAGCAGTCCAAAGAGAGCTTACCCCACTTGAAAAATATGCAAGCACTAAAAAAGTTTCTTTACAAAAATAAGCATATTTATCTGTTCACAGTCAAAAATCCCCAGAAGACAAAAGGACAAAACCCAATGAAGGAAGCAGCGCACTGCACTCTAAGCAGACTAAAGCAATTCCACACCTCCTCTACACTCCTGGCATTCACAGCAAGGAGAAGGTAAGTATACACACAATCCTAGCAAACGTGACTTGCCAGAAGTTTCAAGCTGACTCATATACCAATAGTACAAGTAAATGGAATATTTGTATTTCCTCCTGAGCCTTAAGAGTGCTGGCATTTCCCCATTTTGGGCATTCCAAAGTCCTCCAATCCTCTCCACTCCCTTGTTACTGCCATTTTGGTTGAAGAGAACTAAACAGACTTCAGCTTTCCTGTAGCTGAAGTGTTTGCTACTGAATAAAGAAATGAATTCCTGGCATGGCCCAGGTGACTGTAGGGGCACCTAAATCTGTTCTAGTCAGGGACAGCTTCATGATACAATTTGGTCATGAAAGTACCTGTACAATCCACCTTCAAACTCCAAATCCTAAAATCAATAGTTCTCCCAAGGAAAAAAAAAGTGTTAAACAATTAAATTCAACTTTCAGTTCTCTCTCCAAAGAGATGGCAAAAGGCATAAAGCTGTCCAATATTATAGTAGGATATTTTTATTTCAACCAGTTTATTCAACTGGACTGGAAGTCCCGCAACTGAAGGGACTCTCAGCCCCAACACCTGCCAACTCTAGGCCCCAGCGGCACCCCACAGCTGCAAAGTCTAGCAGTCCTGGATCCAGCTAAATCCTGGCAGCCACAGGGCACAGCTGCTATCTCCCAGCCCCAAGGGGCTTCATACATAGGATGACCATAATTATTTTACGGAAATCCAGGATAGGGAGGCCAGGGGGCACATGCACACACACCAGGGCAGTGTGTGGCAGCAGGCAGGCAGGACCAGAGCAGCCATCAGGAGCGCAGTGTCTCTCTCACCAGGGCTGTGGGCTGGGGCCAAGACATGCTGGGAAGCACGGTGCCTGTCTCACTGGAGCCAGAGCCGTGGACTGGGGCCAGGACCAGGGCGCCAGCCAAGCTGGGGACGCTGCATAGGCTCAGTCTGCCCCATGCTAACTCACAGCTCCAGTCCCATCCTGGCACCTGCAGCTGCATCATGGCCACGTGCCCCCGAGCCAGGCAGGTACAGCAAGCCCCAGCCTTGCACTCCACCTCCCCCGGTTAGGCATGGGCGCAGCCAGGCCAGCCTGAGCTCTCTGCATGGGGGTTGTGATGCAGCTGGCCTGGGCCATCCCAGAAGCACGTGGCCAGGTTGTGGCTGCAGGTGCCAGGGTGGGGCCAGAGCCCTGAGTCAGCGCAGGGCACACAGAGCCCACTCAACACCCTCAGCCCAGCCAGCACCCCATCCCTGGCTCAAGCATGCAACCCCAGCTCCAATGACAAAGGCACCAGGCTGTCCAGTGCACCCTGACAACTGCTAAAGCCCTGCCCACTGCAACACAAACACACACAAACACATGCACAGTCTCCAATGTATCAGCACTGCAGCAACCAGGAGCAGGACCAGGCAGGACCGCATAGCACACACGCAGTCTTGACCATGCAGCTCCCAGGTTCCCACAAAACTGGGACTTTTGCTTAAATTTTCTCCAATAGCTCAGACTCTGAAAGGCTATAAAATCTGGGATATATGGGTACCCTATTCACATATCCTTGAGACTGGGAGATCACAGCAGCTGCATCTCCCAGTTACAGGTGGTACATGGAGTATCCTTGTGGCTGGAAGCCACTCAGCTGTGGGGATCCTAGCCAGGGCAACTTGCTTCTTGCTGGTGCAGGGGGAGCCCATAATCAGGCTCCCCCTGTACCGGCAGTAAGGTGCAATGGGATCTAATGCACAATCCCACAATTACGCTTCCTACCATGCACATGTGGTATAGCAGGAGGTGTAATGGTGTGGATTGCACATTAGAGCCCATTGTGCCTTTACCTGCACATGTAGATGGGGCCCAAGACACATTACAGCAATGGCAAGTTAGTTTTTTTACTTCTGTCTGCACAAAAGCTTGTAGTCAGAGAACTTTAGAACATTTCTCACATCCAGGGAATAGTAAAGTGAAGGTTATTGATCTTCACAAGGCATTAGAAAGTTTTTAGTATATGGCAGAACTAATGTGGCTTCTACCAAGAAAAATACTCACTTTTGTGCGATCTTGTCATTTTGTCTGATTTGGCAGAAGCATCTTTGACTCGGTTGTGGTATTCTACAAGGAATGTTCTTTCATGCTCAAAGAAGTCATCTACATCCTGTAAGATAAACCAGACTTTTATTCCTATTTTGTAATAGTCTGTGCAATCACCACAACTGCATAAAGTTAAATAATTTACGCTGCAAACAATCATTTTGTAAGCCACATATGAAAGTCTGTTTCTCTTTAATTACTTGTCAAATAATAGATTTAAGAGTAGAAGCCTTTCTTGCAATATTTTAGACTCTGGGGGCATGTCTATACAAGATGCTACTACACTCTGGTTACTGCACATTTATTTAGTACTTGTATAAGCACTTGCTTATACAAATAATAAATACACAGTAACCAGAGTTACTGCGCAGTAGCACCACCAAACATCTTAAGTGATGCTACTGCACAGTAGCCTAATAATACCGCGCAGTAGCACATCATACCATGGACAATGCTAATATGCTACTGCACAGTATTATTAGGCTACTGCGCAGTCAGCATCTCGTGTAGACACACATATTAGAATCCCAATGTCAAGATGAGCATATGGATTAATTTAGATTTTAAATGGAGAGTTTCTTCATTCATTTACAAGAAGTATCTTTCACCTCTAGGTCATCAGCTACATTCTAACCCAAACCAGTTGTCATCCTTCATTAAACATATTCCCATCCCTCAACTGTATGTATGCTCAAGCCCTCATAGACAGGTATCTAACTACATAGAAGGATTACTTATAAAGATGTCAAATGGTGTCACTTGTAGTTTCAGGAACCCTGCACTCCTCTGAGATCCTGATCATTCAGGTCTCCCAGTACATGGGTCATTCAAGCTGGGGTGTCAAAGGTGGCTTGATACGATGCAAACCACAACACTCCTGTGCCATCAACTGGTATGACTCAACCATGCTAGCCCTGAGGGCTACTAGGCATAGTCAGACCTTTGGTCTACACCACTTTCAAAACACTAACTATAATGATAAGAAGAAGCCAAAATGTTTTTAAATAACATTAAATTTGCCTAATGTAATCTTGCATACAAGACTGAAAAATGACACTCATCTATTCTGTTTTATTTTTCTTCTTGAATAAAGGCTGTTATCTACCTTGCCCTTTGGATTCCCTTGCACCAAGATCAATTCATGGTTGTATTCACCATGTCCAGTGTCTCTTCAAGAGCACACAATTAGGAAAGTTAGGGGACTTGAAATATCCACTCACTCACTTGGTAGTAGCAAGTGAGAAACTTTTACTAGAAACTAAGTCAGGTTGTAAGTTAGAAACTAAGCAGACCTTAAATTTCTGTTATTGAAGCATTTTATTTCCAATGAACACTGAACCAAGGATATCTTGACAAAAGTTAATTAAGTGCCATTTGCTTCATCATGTTCTTCCTGGATTTGCAGATAGTCCCAGTGACTACAGCTACTCACAGGTTTGAAAAGCTGATGAAGAGCAAAATTTACAAAGTAGCAGTCAAATTCACTTCTATATTTATAACTCTTGTACAGTAGTGAAATGTTTCACACTGCTATTTGGGGAAACTACAAGTAAAATCAAAGTAAGTACCACTTCAGTAGGTGGACAAAGATGCCCCCTCCACCCAAATAAAGCTGGGAAAAGAACAGCTTCCTGTAAGCAGCAGTCAAGCAGCTCTGAAAGGTGGGAGTAATGAGGGTAGAAGGAGAACCCTTTTCCAGCAAATAAAAAGGGATGCCTCAATATTCAAAGCGGGAGGGACATGAATGACAAAACCACCAAAAGTGATCCCAGTATACCACTCATCTGTCTCAATAAGGTGGTGTTTCAGGGAGACTAGTTTTCTGACCAGGCACTCACTTAAACTTTGCCTGTGGAGTCTCAAGTTCACCTACTTACATCTCTTTACCGCTGTCAAACAAACACTGACACATTTGTAAAACTGAAATTACATATAGCCAAGGAAAAGGGTAATAATGTACCTGATAAGCACAGGGTATGTCTCTATTTTTGTAACCATTTCAGACTTACCTTAAACTTATAATACATTATTTTAAAAAAAGTAAACAGCTAAAATAGCCAAGAAGGGAATCACCTTTACTCCTGACACAATGACACCATCTGCTGATTTAACCATGTTTTTAAAGAAGTCTTCTAGTTTCTCTTTCTTATTTTTTCCACGAACACTCAACTGAAAGATAAGATCACATCTCAAGTCAGCATGTTCAAATGCAAGAAAAGCAGCAATTCTGCTCTACAACTACAAGCAAATTTCAACAAAAAACACAGCTCCTCTGTCAGTCTTGCTTCATCTGTCTAACCACCCACTGTTTGCTAATCTGGATCAAGCAAAGTAAACTACTATATTTAGTAGTTAAAAGGAATCTGATCACCGGCAGTTAACCTAATACATGGGGGGGAGGAGTTTGGGGGCGGGGTTATAAAAACATGCACCTTCATAGTTTGGGGAAAATACTAAATTGATTTGCATACACCTCACATTTCTAGTTAGTTCAGTTACATACATATTTTCAAACATAATAAGAGGCTAGAACAAGCCCCTAGACTCTACTCTTACTTACAACAGCAATTCCATCATCTTCAGAAATTTGTAATCCATTTCCTTCTCACTACCATTGAACTCAAACCTCCCACAGAATCTCCCCACATCCTTCCTGTCCATTTAGCCTCTCTAGATTTATTCAGAATTCCTGAACCAGTATTGATATTTCTACATTAGGCAATGAGGGAGCCATTTATAATCCAGAGAACTGAAATCCACTGTTCTAGCTGAACAACTCAGTTGATTAAATTGCTTTATTTTGTTTTCAGTCCATCCCTTTTTCAATTTTAAGGATTCAATGTTTAGGTAGTACAAGTCATATTTCATTTGGTTATATTAAAAGGTTGCTGAAATCAGTATTTAGATAGTGTAAATCTCAAAAGTCGAATTTAGGCTTTAAGACTGGTACATATTAAGTACCAACTTCTTTATATCACTATCAGAATGCAACTCACTGTACACAGGATGAAGATAGCAACTCTAGTTAAATGCAACAGGAAGGATCCAGTATAGGCTTATCACTAAATTATTCTGTTTTCTAAACATGCCATGCTGGCATAACATTTAAGTGATATTACTTAAGAGCTTCCCCTTAGTAAAAATAAGCATCTTTCACCCACCAAAAAGCTTAATCAAAAAATTTCTCTTAGAGGTCTTGACTTAGACAGAAATACCCCCCAAGTATTAAAAAGAGTTTTAAAAAAAATAACAGTTACGCTGAAGATTTGTTTCACCATGTTTTATTTTTCCTGAATTCAGTTAGGAGAATGGGCAATTAAAGCACCTTATGGAGTCAGAGCCAAATCTCCCATAAATTTTATTTTATAGGCAAGCTACAAGTCTAAGTTGCTTCCTGAATACCAGTTTCACAAGCTGCAGGAGAAAGAACTCAGTCAGAACCAGCTAATTGAATTTCTAAATCCAGACAGGTTTAACATTAAGGAATCACTGTAAATTTCCTGAAGAAATGAGAAATCTTATTTATTTCTGTCATATCATGAAAGTACAACTTGAATACTCTCACTACAGATGCAACTTCCAATACTCACATCCTGATTATATTCCAAGAAGACATGGAAATTTAAATCCTTTCTCAAAATTGGATGTGCTGCCACACGGCACAAGAACACTTCATGCATTGCAACCGTCTTCTTGAATATTGCCAAATATTCACTGAAAACAACAAAAAAAGAAATAAAAAATTTCCAACTGAAGCAATTAAATTTCTATTCAGCCTATTGAAAAAATTAAGATGTCTTTATCTATAGAAAAAAGTGTTAGCTGAAGTATCTAAGTTTTTATTCCAGCTTCCAGTGCACTTTAAATCAGTATATGACACAATGTGCATGTGAAAAAAATAATAATGCTAAAACATGAAAAAAAACCCATACCTTTACAATACTATATAGGCAGGACTCCAGAAATAGTAAAAAAAGTATATATAGGCCTTTTAAATCAGGATTCAAATGAAATCTGCATGTTGGCTTCACAATGAGTATATTATAGATGTGACCAAATTTAAGCTTTCCATATATTATCAAAAAATTAACAAAGTGCAGACTACCACACCAGTCACTCTATAGCCTTATTTACAAAATCCTTCCTTTCACATCTCCATCTGTTTGCTCCCACCTCAGTTGTTTGTATTTTGTTCATTTAGTTGAGCTCATATTTCACATCAAAGAATATAGAGCAGGTCAGATAAAATTTATGTGGCTTTTTTGCTTGCTTCTGCCTTTAAAACTACCATTAAGATGTTAAGCTTAGTGCACAGATCCAAAAGAAAGTTTCATAAGGATGAGCTTTCAGTTGCCCAGTTCAACCAGAGTTTTAAAGGAGTAACTGAGAATTATGATGAAGAGAATTATAGAGGAAGAATATCTATTCTTATCAATACAAGCTGCAATAGTTGATTGTTTTACAGTTGAATGGATAATTTTATTAAGTTGTGTTGCTTGGAGAGAGATTACAAGAAGCCTTCTTCCCCATCTCAAATTAACAATGTAATGATAACTGGCACTCTTTGCTTCCACTATGTGCAAGGATAAGATTTACATACCAGCAAACCAGCAGGACCAGTGTTGGGGTGTGTTTGATCTCTGTGACAGTAGTAGTCATTCAGTGTAGACAGAAAAGAAGGATTCAGAGGATGAAGGTGGCAGTAGAAGAAACCCAAGGTTTCTGTGTTATCCAGCCCCTAACCAGACCACAAGAGAATCATGATCAGGGCCACCAGAAAAATCACAGATTCTTCCAAATTTATTATGTTTTGACAATTTTCAGTTTTCTGGCTTATGACATCTCTCTCACACGCTGGTCCAACATGATATTAACACACTTGCTCACAATGGTTGGAAGTTGGCAAATGGAGTTCCCTTTGCCAACCACTTTCAAATTCTTTTCCTACCACTTCAGTACTTGAGAGAAGCAGTCTGGTAGCAGTGTAAACATGCACTTAAGGTATGAAACCAGTGAGGCAGAAAAAAGAATAAAGAGGTGGTCTCAAGAGAGAAAAAAGCAGGACTAAAAGAAAAGTACTCCATGTTAAGTCACATAGTACAGCCTAAGCCCTATAGCAAATTCTCAATCACTTAAAATTGTGCAACTATGAGTGTCCTTATTTTCAAGAAATGCATTTTTTTTTTAAATCTGGATTCTCCTCAAAAAAGTCTAAGCAATTATCAAATGTCCATTCAGCGACTGCTTACAAACAGCTGACGGCAGCTGTGACTGTACAAGCCCCTGTTTCTTTACAGCTTTGCAAGCTCTTCAACTTCTCCTATTTCAATTGCTAGGTAGAATGTAAAATCTGCATTTTCAGTTGCTACTAGCAAAAATAGCTCAGCTCCCAAATACAGTGCAACAGAAAGGTCTATATAAGTACATAGTGGGCATGTCTACATGTCACATTAATGTGCATTAAAGCATTGCAAAAAAACCATGCTTTTTAGCTAATGCACATTAAAATAAGCTACTGTGCATTTTTCCAATACCTCACAACGGAGATACTACATTTAATGCGCATTACCTAAAGAATATTAATTGAACATGTAAGCAACCTAGTGAAAACCAAAAAGCAGGTCAGAAAATATGCAATATGTCTTTTACAGTTTGCTTTAAAAAAAATGAATTAAGGAACAAACTGTTGTTTGCTTTTGGTTTTCAACAAGTATGTATACCCTCGATAGATTTCCCATCATTCTGGACAATAATTTCTACAATTTTCCTGATGGCTCTGATCATGATCACTGAGATAACACTAGTTATATGGAAACTCTGGATACTCAAAACTGTATCTTCCAGAAGGAATCACTGTGTTGAAATGATCAAAAGTATGAGATAGCAGAGAGCACTTCAAGTGAATTGTAATCCACACACAGTAGTGAATGATAGGTACGCACGCTTCCAGTTCTTGTTTCATCTTGGTGAACTCTTCTTTAGTCATCGATCCTTCCCCTTCTCCAAGTTTCTGTAGTTTTTCTCTAGAGGCATCAAAATCGGGCCTGGGTGGTGCCGGTGGGATCTGTCAAATGAGTCAATCAGGGAGTACTTTTGAATTCCTCACCTTCTTAGTCAAAGTTAAAGCCCTTCAAATAAGGATACAGTAAGATGCTTATAATTTTTAGACCCAAAATCTTCATCCCCAACCCATTAACACACCTAGGGAGAGGACGACTTACCTTATGCATGATTCATGGAGCACAGAGCCCTAATATTTCATTTTCTAGTCATGGTTTCTTTTCATATTACTAAAAAATTAAGTTCTGATTTCACAACAGTCTTATATAAATTAAGCAGCATTTAATTCACTGAATTAACCTGATTCAACCATTTGAAGGTTTTCTCTACAGTATTTTCCAAAATGAAATTACTATCCTCCATACATATTTTCTGGAAAGCTAGGACTCATGGAGTACTGTTCCCAGTGTTTGCACATGCTAAACTGTTATTGAAAAATTGTTGGCATTAAAGAATAAATTGACTGGAAAAGAAGTTAACATCACACAAAGTAAGAATAGTACAGTAAGTAAACTTTGAGCTAAACTTTCAACTGTATTATGATGCACACTGTTTGTGGAAGAATTCAGCCAAATGGTTCCTGCATTACTATGAAAAAGTATATTAGGGTAAATGAACCAAATTATCCCCCGGTCTAAACATATAAGCAGAAAGCACTTTCTTAAGAAAAACTTTTCACTTCGCCATAATCTAATACCACATACAAAGAAAGTCTTAAAGGCTAAGAAACCAGTCAGACACTTCCATTTATATAGCTTACATCATCTTAAAAGAGAGAGATTACTTTCCAATTAACTTGTAATTGTGAAAAAGGAGTAAAATGCAACATGAACAGTAAAAATGTGTTGTCAATATGCATTTGAGCACAACACATATGCTGTAGGCACTACCAAAACAAGAGGGTTTTTTTTGGTTACATACTGTTTTTAAAAAGAGCATTCAATGAAATGTAGAAGCCTCTAGCAAGTTAAATATCTAAGATTCCTGTATTATAACAGTAACTCATTGTTAGTTGCTTTTTAAACAGCCACTTTCATCATGCAACTATGCTAGGGACATCCACTCCCTGAAGGCCTAGACTAAGTCACAAGTGGAAAGCCATCTCAATTATGCATTAGTTTTTGTTGTAATATTCTAGACCATATTTGCCCTCGCCTTTAGATAAATCCGACATAAAAACGAATTCTGCTTATTTCATTGTGTACCATTCCCTACAGAAAATTCAAGAGAAGCAATGACTTTGAAGCTTAATGCTCCACCCTTCAGCCACAAAGGAAACTTGAAACTTAAAAGCAGTAAGTTAAGTATTAACTCCTGAAAACAATATCACCAAGTTTCAGAGGTTGTCCATTTTCTATGCATTCAAAGTTTTAAACTAAACTGCCTCAGGACAAAATAAAACATTAAGCTGCTCCGAATTCTTAAGAGTAAAAACAAAAACAAAAACAAAACAAAAAACCAACAAGCATGATGCAAATGTACACACACAATGAAAGACTACAATGATATTCCTAAAAATTGTTAAAGTAACTTGAGGGCGTAATGTGAGTGGCTTAAAGAATACCCACAGCTCCCATTTGCTTTAAATGAAGAAATGGATACTCAGTACTTCTGCTAATCAAGCCTTCAAATAATAACTTTTCACAAGAGATCTAGACACACAAAATAAAAAGGGGATAATACTTACAATGTAACCTGCATAATCTTCATTTTCAACAAAGGAATCATGAAGCCAGATGAACTCTTCATGTTGTCGAACAACAGAAAATTCATTTTGTTTGAAATTAGGTAAAGAACTCTGCAAAGGAAGGGGGAGGAGTTATTTATTTTAAGAGTGAAAGAATATTACATTACAAAAAACAGCTTTCAAACAGAAGTACAGTAAAATTTCCTTCAACTGTGAAAGATAAATCATTACTCTGGATGCAGTTTCTCCCCCAAACATTTTTGAAAATAAAATATTAGTTTGATTTTACTGTATTAACATGTACTCAAATAAGCCAAAGCACACTATGAAAACAAACAAACAAACAAACAAAACGTGAGGTCTTGGGCAACTATTTTGGAAATTAAAATCTGAGACTGAATACAGCTCTATACTGAAGAACACCACGAAAGACAGAAACAACCAACAAAGAAATAGAATGTACACCACAGGGAAAAATACAGGCGTCTGTGGAAAGGCTCCAGTTGCAAACATGCCAATAATCCATTAATATAAATGTGGGGCTCTCAAGACAGAATACTGTAATGCATAGAAAATGGAGTCAGTTTTTAAAAACTAAAACTTATCTTTCAAAAGCAATTTTTTTTAATACACTTTGAATCTTCTTTGTTGATTACTTTAGGCCTAATAGTGCCCCTTCAATAACAAATTGTTACTTCCTCATTTCCTAATTGTTTGGGGGATTTTTTTCACATTTGCTTTATACAGGCAGCTATGCTTTTTTATATAATTACCAGAAGAGGAAAATTTCATTTAGGGTGCAATGTTGCATTTTACCTTGGTATGGACAGTGAACTTCACTTTGTCCCTCTCACTAAGAGCATCTGAAATATCCACTTGCAGGGCAGCATCAGTCTGAAGATCTACATTTATTGCTCTAAGCTAAACAAAGAAAAATCAATTTAGCCTTAACAAAAACTAAAAATAGCACTTCATTTTTTATTTTCCAATCAACAAGAGCCAAGATAACTACTGTCACAAATAACTTTAGACTGCAATGGACAGAACAAACCAGCATTAGAAAATACTCCCTGTGGGAAAACAAATCCCAATATACATTTCTTGTAGAGCACAAAAGCACATCTCTTTCATTTACTATACTTCCTTGTTTGTGTACAACTACTAGCATTTGCCTATTTATTGAATATTATTTCTCAACCTGTCAGCAGTTAAGAGCAAAATCCACTGCAGATTTTAAAAAGCGGTAACAACAAAAAATTCTAAACAAACTCAAGAATCTTCCTCCTTAACATTTTTTACACACACACACACAGACTTAAAGAACATGTGATAAGATTAAACAATTTTAAAGGTGCCAGGGCAGGGGGGATTTAGATTTTTGTCTTTTTGCTTGTTTACGATACACAAATTTATCCACACCTTTTACACAGACAAGGTTCCTTGGGTGAATCTGATATCTTTTATTAGATCAACCCAAATAGTTGGAAAATAATTATTAAATAAGCTTTTGGGTTCAAAAACCCTTCGTCAGGCTAAGGAAGTTTCAGCAGCTGGTGTGTGCTCAAGGGTTTTTGAACCCGAAAACTTGCTTAATAATTATTTTCCAACTATTTGGGTTGGTCTAATAAAAGATATCAGATTCACCCAAGAAACCTTGTCTGCCTATGTCCTTAGACCAACACGGCTACAACCTACCCTCCACACCTTTTAGAAATTCCTTTTGTAATTTGTCAAAAATACATATCAAACACGCCAGACCTTTAATTATGGGCTAAGAAACCAAAGAGAAAGTATTTAAGTCAGGGGCGGGCAAAATACAGCCCGCAGGCCAGATCCAGCACGCCAGGCACTTTCATCCGGCCCGCTGTGATGCACAGCACTGGCTGGAGCCACACAACACTGGGCACCAGCACCTGTGCCAGGCACCAGTGCCCCAAATGTCCCTGCCTGCTGCTGTGCCATAGGGGGAGTGTGGGGAGTCTCCACACACCCACACCCTACTCTACAACCCCCCACATATACACAAACCCCCAATATACCCTATGCCCTGCACACACAGCCATGCCCCCACAACCCCCCCACACCCTAACACGTACACTATGCAAGACTAAGAATTTATTTTTGAGTTATTATCCAATCACCTCTATATACAGTACACAAATACAAATCACAGGAAAAATATTCTAATATAATAAAAGCCCAACTCTGTCTGTCTGTCTGTCACGCTTTATTCGCACTCTGATTGGCTGACAGAAACAGCCAATCAGAGTGCTCCAAGCATGGGGGTGTGCCACCATGATTCTAAAGCCGCACCATGGACCAGACAAAGGGTGGGGGAGTTGCTGGCCTCTGCTGGTGCCCCCCCCCCAGACTTGGGAGGCACCAGTTGCTCACCCCGCTCCCTACAAGAGGCAGAACGGGGTGTTAGGTGGCAGCACTCCCCCCCACCCCCCTCCCCCCATCATTCTGGACAGGCAATTGGCTAGTTTTTGTAATAAAATTAAAGTATGTTATAGTAAGTATCAGGGATGGGACTTCCAGTCCCAAGATGGCAACCAGGGGCAGGGCAACTGTCAAGGGGTGGAGCTACCCACACAGCCTCAAAATCTCACCAAACCTTTTCAAGTGGCCCTCCACCCAAAATAACTGCCTGCCTCTGATCCAAGTCCTCCCCCAACAAAGTAAGGCAGATTTTACATTTATAATACTGGTAACATGAAGTAAGATGAGAGCTTTTAAAAGCACAATGTTTCAGATTTTCTTAATGCAGAAGCATAAAAAATGGACATAAACACCAGTCTTTTTTTTCTTGTCTTCTGCAGATTATGTGTAAAGTAATTCCAATTGGGGGTCCAAACCAGTGCATCAGCCAGATTTTTGCAGAAGTCTTCAAACAAGAAACAACCTAAATTCAATTTTTAAACTAAGATTTTCAATTATTTTAATGTCTTCATGGATCTAGGCTAAAATATTTGGGTATGGCAGACTCGGGACCAGATGCTCCACCTGCGCTGGAAGAACTCCTACCCCCCTGTGAGCAGGATGGGGACTTCAAGCTTTACAAAATTCCCTCCACCACAGAAGCCTCTTAGCATGCATAAAAATAATGTCAGGCTCTGAAGATCAGAATGGGGAGAGAGTGCCTGTCACTTCTGCCCTTGCATTGTGTAGTCTGCCTGTGAACCCTCTGAAAGGAAGTTCTTCCATGAGTTACTGCAGTTTCTAAACTGACAAAAAGAAAAGAAAACACAATTAAGGAAAAAAGGATCCAAAGACATGGCAGCTCTCCCCACTCTTACTTCAAGATATTCCAACTAGCATCTTGGCATCCTCATGAAAAATTTCAGATTTCCCAACAACAGTCCCTTCTACTGACATGAAGTTGGAAGTCCATTCCCACCAAGGAAAAAGTAGGATAGTATTTCTGAGACTATCCATTTGCCAAGAGGAGTGGACAATCTATTCTAAGGATGGGGGGGAAAGGTCAGTTTCTTGTGCTGTTCTTCATTATTGCTGGAAACAAATAGGCATCCAAGTATTTTTTTTAAAGTACTTGGGTATACTTAAAACCTTCTAATTTATTGTTCTCCAATTACACCACCAATTTTTTTTTTTATTTACATGCCTCCTTTTTGGATGTAACGATCATATTTTCTTTGCTCTTGTAGCTTCTCCTGAAGGCATTTTTATCCTTAATAGTTCAACTGACTGGCATTTTTATACTGGACTTTGAAGTCCAAAACGCATAGTGTCACAACAGAAAATATTTTTGTAAGCATTTCATAACACATGCATTTTCTGACAGTAATCTCATTACCATCCATTAATCATTTTGTTTCAGAGAACAGTGGGTAAAAAGTCTATATTTTTAAGCTGCCTTTCAAAGAGCAAAAATTAGGAAAATTAACCTATATTAACATGTCTTGCTTTCATTCACCATTTTCCCCATACACAAAACTAAAAACAGTGCAGCAATATGATTTTAAGGTTCAAAACAATAGCAGCTAAAATGTTTCATTAAATTACATGCTTTGTACAATGCCAAACTATCAGTAAGCCATTTTTCACCAGTTAGATTTATGAATAACTTCAACCATAGAATTTTTTTGAACAAGCTTTGATATTTTAAAGACAAAGCGAAGAGGACACTACAAGTAACACGTTAAAACAATCTGCAATGGACAGCTTGCCTTACAAAATGTACTCGCTACATAAATCTTGGGGAGGTTAATAATATGTTAAATTATGCTATGTAGCCTGCCTGGCAACAGGGACCATTTTCATTTGCAATGGAAATGAGGCATTCTGTACAAGGTGTCAAAGACAAAAGAGAAAGTTAAAGGACTTTTGAGAATCATGCAGAAATTCACTGTATTATTTGGAACTGGTTCACAAACAATGCTGTCATCCTGAAGTTAGGCAACTTCTTCAATACTTGAGAGGAAAAATACCTCAAAAGATGGCTTCCCGATAGTTAGGGCCAGGAGAAGGAAGAACCCAGGACACTGTGCAGACTTCCAAAGTCTAGTTTAAATGACAGTGCGAGTCAGCCGGCTGTCTGAAAGCCTGAAATGTCTGATTTGGAGTTTTATGGTAGGGGGATGGGCAGAGATGGGAGGAAAGACTGCATGCAATTATACGAAGCTGCACACATCAACTGCTTGCAGACATTTAAAAAAAAAGTGTTTTACTAGAAGCAGCAGTGTGTTAGCTCAGCCTGGCTCCGCAGTGTCTATATAGATCGGGCGCTTCAGCGGGGCTTTTTGGTGCTTTTATCTAAGGCTGAATCAATCAGCTATTCAATAAAAGCACCAAAAAAGCCCCACTAAGGCACCCGATCTATACAGATGTCAGGCAAGTCAGGTCCAATTAATGCACTGCCTCTTCTGGGCAGTACATTAGTTGTGCTGGACTCAGCGTGGGAGCGCAATGAGTTTACAGTAAAGTGCCATTTTTGGGTTGCTGTTTTTTTTGTTATTTTTTTAACATCTGCAAGGAGCCATTAATTCTACACTTCAAATTAATGCAGCATACCCATACACAACTTCCCATAGAACAATATATGCCATTAGCATCTATGAACTTCCCATAGAACAATATATGCCCTAGCATCTATGAATTAGAGAAATCACAATATAAATACCACCTGATAAACTATGCCCCCCACAAAAGTAATCTTTGAAGTAATCCAAATATGATGTGGAAACCAAAGTAAGACTAACTGTTGTTGGGGTATGTTAGAGAGATGGAACTGGACCTGAAAATTGCCTGAAGTACAGTACCATCTTGCACAATACTGAAGGAACTTGGCACAGCAGAAACCAATACCAATGCCTACCAGATGCTCAGCTCCTTCCAAAAATTCAAGATGAACCCTTCTCCAAGAAGCACTCAAAGCTTAGTGAAAGGAGCAGAAAGAGAAAAGAGAAAAAAAAACAGGCAATGACATTTGTCAAGGAAAGGTCATTAGATGTCATAACCTTATAAACCCCATGGGAAGACTTTTGCTCATGATTTAAGTGAAACAAGTACAAGCAACCCCATTTAATGCTGTTTTGCTTGGCGCTATTTAGCTATAACGCTCATTTTAAATTGATACCTGATTTCACTTAGCGCTCAGCGAGTTTCAATATAACGCTCGCGGTTGCCATCTTGGGTCATTAAAAGCAATTGCGGTCACCATCTTGGGTCATCAAATACTTTCGGTTTCACTTAACACTCAGTTTTTCAGGAACCAATTAAGAGCGCTAAGCGGGGGTTGCCTCTACTAGATTAGCTTCTTTTAAACTGCAATTAGTAACATTTAAAAAGAAACAGTCAGCAAAAAAACCCCATACCAGACTTGTCTTGCACACACTTCTGTATACATAAAAATGCCATTAAAACAAGTAGAAATTCTACTACTCAAAGTATGTTCAACAAGTGCAGCAATTTTGTGCTGCTACAATTTAGGAAGTCATTTTTGCAAATGCCTATTTATGCAGAACAATTTATAATGAAATCCAGTCATGGACCACAACCTTAACTCCCCAAATTTTGTTCTGAAATGATCCATATAACAAGCCATCAGAAAAGTGTCCAGGTGGCACTATTTAACGGTTTGAGAATCATGCTCTATGGCAGGGATCGGCAACCCACGGCACGGGTGCCAGAGCATGGCACACGAGGCCATTTTCCTCAGCACATTGCAGCTGACTCAGGCTCTGGGCAGCTGCCACCAGCCACGGAGCTGGGGCTGCTCACAGCAGGTGGCCAGGAGGCTACAAGCTCTGCTGCAAGCTGCCTAGGCTCTGTGGCAGGCAGCAGCTGCCCAAAGCCTGGGCTGGTTGCAGCTGGGAGGCTGCAAACAGTTGCATGGGGCTCCACAGCCCTGGCATCAGCTCCGTGAGTGCGGCAGCTATGCACGTCTCCAGGAGCATGGCCAGGAAGGGACCTGAGGCAGCACAACCCTGGCCCCTCCCCTGCCATCCAATCTGAGGTGCACGTGCTGCCACTGCCACCACAGAGTCTGTGTCACGGAGCCCCATGCAGCTGTTTGCAGCCTGCCCGTCGCTTGCTGCAGCTGCCCAGAGCCCATGCCAGCTGTGGCAGGCAGCTGGACAGCTACAAACAGCTGCACCAGGCTCCAGAGTCCTTGGCCGAGTTCCATGCCACCAGCAGCAACATGCGTACCTTAGAGTGAATGGCAGGTGAGGGGCCAAGGTTGTGCTGCCCCAGGCCCATTCCCAGCCGTGCACCCAGAGGTGCACGCACAGCAGCCACCACCACGGAGCCAGTGCCAAGGCTGCAGAGCCCAGCACAGCCATTTGCAGCCTTGGGGCTGCCTGTTACAGCTGACCCAAGCTTTGGGAAGCTGCAGCAGGAGGGAGGCAGGTTGCAAACAGCTGCACCAGGCTCTGGATTCTGACAGCAGTGAGAGCAAGCGCACCTCGCAGCCCACAGCAGGGAAGGGGCCAGGGCAGCACAACCCCAGCTCCTCTCCTGCCATCTGCCCCAAGCTGCACACACAGCCACTGCCAGCAATGAGTATCGGGCCCCTTGTGGCTCCCCTGTCTCTGGCATGCTAAGTTGAAGCATGGGTGGAGGCTGGGGTGTTTTCAGCACTGGCCAAAAACACTGCCACCCCTGCTTCATGGTATCAACAGACACCTCTTCCTTTCTTCCCCATCTGATCCTATCCCCTCAATGGCTAAATACAACATATTTATAGCTCAGAGAGAATGTAATTTTGCTGTGAACAAGAAATCACCCTCATCTAGAGTGGAAAGGAAATCTACCCAGTTCAGAAGTCAATTAGCCAAATCACAGGTTAGCATGCTGCCTTGTACTAAGGAGGCTAGCTTAGCCTCTTTATTTTTACCACAAGTACAGGAAGAAGATAGCCAAAAAATATACTCAACCCAGAACGAGGGAAATATCTATTTATGAAAACACTGGAGAGGGGGGTAGGATTTTCCTGCTACCAAGAAAAGCTAATACTGTTCTAAAGAGAAAATCATAATTGGAGTCATTTATAACAGCTTCCCTCTTCTACTTTTTAAGCATGCTTACCTTATTGGTCACTACCAAAAACCTGTAGAGCACAGACCTGTCAGTTAATCATGGAAACTTACAATAATAGGACAAAGAAAAACGTCACTAGAAACAGGAACAGCAGGTGAAACATGAGGGGAAGTGGAGAGATTGTGTTATTAGCACTGGATATTGGAGGAAGCGAAAGGGATTGCTCTTGGCCAGCTAATTTGCTCAGTAGCACAAGCAGTACTGTTGATTAAGATTTTTTTTATTACTAAAGGTATCCGTAGCTTTAGTAGGAAAGAAACATAAGGTTTTTCTATAAAAGAACAGACTACTGATATATAAAGACAAGAATCTTCTTGCAGTGGTGGCCAATATTGAATACTTCACAAACCCGCCCCCCCCCCAAAATAAAAACAACCAATCTATACATTTCAAATACAATCCTGTCCTTAGTGCAGTAGGTCCCACCATTTTTAGACTTAAAGCACCCCCCTGGAAAATGCCAATTCTTAGTTTTCACTTTTTTTTTGGAATACAAAAAATACTAGAGCAATTAATGTTACAAAGAACACAGAAAGGCCACAACAGGACAGGTTTTCAACACTATGGATTCCCACGTGAAAACTTTGAGTTTATCTTCTGACTCATGTTTGCACAACTAACAATGCTAACATTGTGGGGCACCCGCTGGCGCCCTGCTTGAGAATCACTGCTCCAGAGCCTAACTCTAATGGACACAATTAAGAAATCAGTCTCTCTGATATCAAAAGATTCTGCAGTACTTGGCACTGCAAGTGTCCACTGGAAAGGTCATGCTCCTCACCTGCCCTCTCCCGTTTATTCTGTATTCTTAAATAGAATTATATATGGCAAAAGCTCCAGAACGCCCTTGACCAATAACACAATGCAGCACACAACATGCTCCTCCTTCTTGACCTCCTGGGGATTGGTATAGAATAAAATGCAATTAAGTCATATCATGTACAAATATTAATGGTCAAAATGACTCATCCCTCACTTGAAAAAAACCCAGTCAGCACACTTCAAAGTTTATGCCTGAAGCCTCAAACACACAGCCCGTAAAATGTTTTCTGCCATCAACAGGGCATTTCAGAACCTCAGCATCATTTACAAAACGAGTTCTTAGTCTTCAGGGGCTCTGTCTAACTCACGGGTGACCAACTCGTGGCATGGACACCAAAAGTGGCATGGGCAGCCTCTGTGTGTGCCACACAACATGCTGGAAAGGGGACAGGCAGCACAGCGGCAAGAAAGGCAGTGAGCGGAAAGCAAAGAAGCAGATCAGGCTGAGGAAGGGGACTGGAGTGCCACCAAACCAGAACAAGGCTAAAGTGGTGCCAAAAAGACAGGCCCAATTGGCCTAGTTTCTGCTGGGTGAGCTCACCTTTGACAACCACCTCCAGCCTACACCTCATTTCCCCTCGGATTTACACCTTCAACCAACTTAGCGGGTGGAGGTCAATCTTTCCTAGGGCACTGCCTAAGGTGAATCAATACTAACAAGGCTGATACCAATGTAAGCGCATCCACTTCACGGGTGTAATGGGGCTAAGTCGGTTTGAAGAAGCAGAGCCAGGGAGCAGAAAGCCTGCTGGACCAAGGGTGATGAGAAAGGAAGGGACCCAAGGCTGAGCCACAGCATGCCCTGGTGTCACTACCCACCCCAGCAGCTGTCCCCTGGGCACAGCTCTGAACTGCTGCCCGGGCCCCAGCTCTGGGTGAAGACTGGGGCCCACTGGCAATCTCAAGGAGCCCGGGCAGGGGCAGAGCTGGGGGGGGAGCCCCCCCACCACCCTCCCGCGCCCAGTAACCCCGAGCAACGCGTCCGTGCTGCGGGGGGCGCAGCAGGTGGGACCCGGCCGGAGCCCGAGCCCGCCCCGTACGTCCGGGCCCCCGCGGCGGCACTTACCCCGCGGTCCTCCTCCGAGAGGAAATCGGGGCCGTCGTCCGAGCCTTCCTGCTCCGCCAGGGCCGCGGGCGCACACGGGGGGGGAACAAAGCGCACAAG